CAAATAACAAAAATATCAAATTAGTTAATTTAAACAAAAATTTCCTCATAATAAAGTTATTAAAGAAGCATTAACATAACACATGTGCTTATGAAATCTAAATAAAATAATCACCTATTATTATTGTTGCTGCAGTTGTTGTTGTTGTTGTTGCTGCTGCTGTTAATCTATCATACTACATTATTGTAAGGACCATAATTATCATATAAAAGCAATAAGTAGGATAATATAAGAAAATTATATTATTATAAAGCATAATAATTTTCTTATATTAATCATATTATATTTATTAGCGATTTTTATATTAGTAATTAGTTAGTAGTGCTCTTTTTGCATAATTAATAATTATTGTCAATTACAATAGTAGTAGTAACCATATTTATTAATTATTTTTAAAAATAATAATTATGAATGTTTATTATTATTGTGTTAAATATAATAATTATTATTTTTAAAAAAATAAATAAAACATGTCCTCTTTTTTCTTGTCTCTCTATTGTGTTCAAGAACATAAAAGACACCCTTTTTTGCTTGTCACTCTATCTTAATGAGGATTTCCTAAACCATTTTTTTGGTACTAACATATACGTACATAAGTATATTATAGATAATTTGAAGAATAATAAATGATAAACATAATAATTTACTCCAATAATATAATAAACAACAAGTTTTTAAATACTATTATAAAGACAAGTCAAAATATATCTACAATTGTAAATAAGTTACTATTTAATAATTTTATATCTAATCCATAAATTACCATAAATTATTAACCTTCATCTTTTTTGAATGTTTTGTCCACTACCTTATCTCTTTCTATTCTGTGGCATCTACCTCTATCCTTAAAAGATGGTATTTGATACCAGAAAATGGAAAGATATCTGACATAGTTTGCCGTAACCTCCCTCAATTTCTAGGGGATCTGCGCTACATTATCTCTAGGGGTATAGGGTCCCCTTTTATTCTTGCGAATATTTCAAGCCCTTAATTGTCGCTTAATGATAGTATTAGATAAGGAAAGAGAGAGGAAGATGGTGAGCTGGCAAGCGATAGAAAGTGATTTGCGGGGTCGTATCCCATTTAAGAGAGTGGGATTAGTTGATTTTGTTCAAACCTCAAAGAAGAAAGAGATATGCGTGATACATTTAGAGAGAAAAAGAGAGGCAGGAAAGGTGAGAGAGAAGAGAGAGAATGGGAAACGGTGAGGATTTTTCTGACAAAAAATACACAAACACATTGTTGTATTTGTTAAGCCTAATTAATAATATTATCACCTGGCATCAAAATATGAAAGGGAAAAACGATACCCTCAGTTGATAAAGGGTGAGATTCCGTTATTTTTTCCTTTTTCCTTTGGTTATTTTATAAGCTACATTCCTAGAATTGAAGAAAATTGGAGACCGGTGATAGAAGTTCAGTAGAAGCTAGAGATGATAACTTGAAGGTGAATCAGTGCATTTGTACCGGATGTCATTGACACAAAGCAGGTTGCGAACCTACACTTGTAATAGATAGTTTGATGTTAGAAATATGCTTCATGGATAAATGTTTTGCTTTACTTTTTTTCTTTTCAGAAGTCAGATAAACATCATTTTTTAGGGAAAATATCTCCGTACACCCTCTTTTTAGGTTTTATTTCTCAACAAACCCAAGGTTTCAAAACATATCTGACGGCATAGAGATCCCATATATGATATCTTCTAACCCCTTGGAACAACTTTACCCCATTTGACCCCATGTTCTTTAACTCAAATAGAAGTTCAAAAGACATCATATTTTCCACTCCTTTTTAAACCCTCTTCTCTCTCTCTCTCTTCCTCTCTCTGT